TGACTTCTCCGGTAGAGACTTCTGGCAGCTCTAACAACCGATTTTCCAGAATGGCTCCCAGGGACGAAAACTGCTGTAGTCGGGACTGCTCATCGGTGTTGCAGGCCACACGAAGGTCTAGAGTCAGTCGGGGATTCAGTAAATGCGCTCCACCAGATAACACGCTCGACACGGAGGACGAGGCCGGTCCCTCGACAGTCCAGCTGGTAGAGGAACGATCGGACGAGGAGTCCAAAGCCAAACTTGTGAGATCTGGATGGAAGATGGGCAGAAGACCTGCACCGAATACAAAAAATGAAGTAATTTGCAGGGTGGCAGTGGGGCGGATAAGTGAAATCGTGGATGAGACTGGATAACAGACACTGGTGTAATCAGTCTAGTGGACATACGCAGTTTCAGGAGATAGTAGTCTCGGTTGCGTAGAACGCGAAGCGTCAGGAGGGAAGCTCCATCCGTCTGACTGCTACAAACTGCCAGGCAGTGGGTGGTGGGTAATGGTGAGTGCAACCGCTGGAGAGCAAGGGCGACCTCGAGGGCCACACTCGACGAGGAAATCGTCTTCCAGTCCCACCTACAAAACACGGCCAATTTTGGATGAAGGAGAGAGTAAAAAAGCTCATGAAAATACATAGTCCAAATGAAGCAGACGGCAGTAAAAAATAAGTGTCTAAAACAGAATTACGCAAATGCATGCGTTGCCCAAATTGAGGCTTGATTTTTAAGTATAAATTTTTTTCCCAGTTTCCACAGAAATTAATGCGAGAACATGGATGAAAATCCCCACCACAAACCTTCTTAGGCTTGGTGCGAATATTAATACGAATTTACAAACCGAAATCCGTATGAACTACAACGGCATAATCACTCAATACTGACAGTTCGACCATCGGTTTCGATTATGTCCACCTTATGCTCCAAGCAGGGTGGTGCAGGGACGGTGACTTGCACAGCATCTACCGCAATTTCTAATCCCTCACTCACCTGCAGCCGGTGTCAACACAGAGTCAAGAAGATTGAAGCGGGATTGGCGCAAGCCCCTCCCCCGTCTATGCCTGCCACTACACTGCGCACAAGTTAGTTTTAAATGATAGTAGACTTGTGAAGCCTCTACCGCACTCGTGCAATACTAACCTGCCCCCAAAGGGCAGTAAGTAGTCTAAAATAATAGTTTATTATATTATATGACTGCGCCTATGTTACTTTCAATTTAAAGCGGACGTGAGCCGAGTCATTAAAATATTTCAGCCTTAATCACAAACCGAGTTACACGGGCTTAGGCTGGTTGTTTTGGTAATGAAGTTCAATAGTTTACCCTGCACGCATTACGTTCTTAAAAGAGAAGAGAGGGGGCAAAGGAGGTGGGCGGAGCACACATCGACGTATCGTAGTTTACTATACATAACTAGCTACTTATTTCTTTATAGTAAGCCTGTTTTGTTTTATTATTTCCTATAATCGTGGATTGCAGTACCTTTCATACATTATGATTTTACGGCCTTTCTTGCGCACGCATTCAACATTTAACACTCCCTAGATAGAAATCTCTAGCGAAATGCGGTCGCTCTTCGTCTTATTGAACTACACTATCTGCCCAATGCCCTTGAACTTGAATTATGCAAGGAAGAAGCCGGCAGACTTACGTGGGCTTCGTGCGGCCTTCAACCCTTTCCCCCGACAGGAGCGGTCGGACGGTAGGCAAACGTGGTGAAAGAACTAAGGTTTAGGAGAAAAAACAAAAATGAACTTAAAAGACATGGGAAGATCAAGGGAAAAACAAATTTAGTGTCATGTCTTGCGGAGATAAAGGGAATAGTGTCTGAGAATAGTCATTTGTGGACTCTGTGCAATACTTAAAAATAGTATGGAACGACTTTATTGCTTTAGTTCGTTTAATCAAACGTCATTCATAAGACGATCAATCGGCTCTTTACTTATAAGCACGTATTCAGACTTTTTCAGCGAAAGATGATTTATTCCCTCTGCGTTACAGGCAACAAAGAGGGGATCTTATCTTAGTTTACAAGATAATAAACGGT